CAAAAATGTTTATATTTAAACGCACTTTTAAGAGTTTGAATTTTTGACTCATGGTGACTCATGGTGTCCCGATCTCCCCTATATATTTTTTTCAAAATTTAATTCGCTACAGCCACATATTTCCATATTTTTAAACCGCTCAAATCTTTATCAAGCTCGTTTTCTTCATCCTTCATCCTTTACCTGTCTATCATCTGTTGTAATGGTTTTTGTTAAAGTCTTTTGTCTGAATTTTGAAAATGAAATTACGGCGGAGGCGGCGGCGGCGGCGAGCACACAAATAAGACGCGCTCGCGCTGCTCGCCTGTGAGTATCGGTGGTCACACGCGAATTTGGGATGCAGGATAAAAAACACAGGAAATGCATTCGCCGTCCGAACTAATGATGACGAATGGCGCGCGATATTATCACGGCGTCATGTGCCGTTGGCGAAAAACCATTCGTTCATATTAGGAAGTTGATTTGGATTTAATGGGGGAGCATCGTTTGCTAGTTTAGCCGCGCTTTCGTCGTGCTTTTCATTCCAACTTTTGGAAATTCATTACCAATTACGCCATATGCACAGTTCGCAAATGTTATATACACGTACATTTATTCGGTACCTAAAGACACTATGCTCTAATTTTAATACAGAAGATAGTTTTGCAAATTTAAAGTCGATTTATCTTACAAATCTGAAATTTGATAAAAAGTTTGCGTCTCAACTTTTTTCAACATCTCTCATTTAGTAATAAATCTCGAAATAAACAAAAAGGTTTGTCAATCTATATATATATATAAAATGATGAATATATGGGAATGATTTTTCTTCTTCTAATTGCACTCCAGAATATCGACGTAATCTCGAAAAATATCGATGCCTCGAGATCTTAATTAAGAAGAAGTCGATTCTAAATTGATCAAAGAATCCGTCACTAAATTAAAGTCGAAGGTACCGAAGCATTCTGTACAAACACTAGTAGGGTAAAGGAACATCGTATCCTTTTAAAGGGAGGGTGCGAATCTCAGGATATTCTCGACGAAATTATTAAGTACTTTCAAAAGAGAGCTTTACACTTTCCTCGTAATAAACAAGCTATTGTAAGGAAAGGGTAGAAACCGGAACGGGGTCAAGATCGACTTTTCTCTCGATACCACCAAATGAACTTATAACTTCCGCTCGAAACCGATTACAAGGAAGTGCCACTTTCGAGGTAATAAAAGAGAACCGGCAGTAGGACCACTGCTCTTCGTCTCTCTGTGTAACACCTGCAACTCTTCTTCCTATCATCTCCCATCCCATATATGTTTGCTCTAATATAGAGTTTCTATATACGCGTGATGGTCCTGCTAATGGAAAGTAACGTTACGTACATCTCACCGTCATGATGAAAAAGTAAAATAAATGGGTGTTATATTTAAAGCCCGATGGAAATGTTCAAACGTCCATTACCTATGTCGATATGTCTTATAAATTATTCGAAATATCAAATGTTTTATGCAAGAGATCTTACTTGGTTTAAGAACGACGACGTTACGACGACGACGAAGTGAAATATAATAGAAACGAAGCAGTATCCGTATAAATCAGAAAAGGAGAACAAGCGAATTAACAATTTAGACTGTATAAGAGGAAACTTGTAAAACTTTTCTTTCTGTAATTACTTTCAGCTACTACTAAATCGACGCTTTTAGAAAAATGATTCCAATATCTCGAAATACATTATACATTAAGTCGTTCACGTAATACAGATATTGAATAATCTTTGCAACCTATATATCGTATACTATCGTATTTGTAAACATAGCATGTGTTCAGATAAACATTGCAAATTAATGTTTGTAGTTGCTGCTGATGCTACATCGTTACCAAGACATGAGATTGCTAAAACATATTACGATAAATACGATCCTCGTCCTATTTGAAGAGAAGAATCGCATATTCCTCTATTAAAATTTAACAAGATAAAGTTCCAAAAAAAAAGAAAGATATCGTCTTATTAGAAAAGAACGTCTTATTCGATTAAAAAATTTATTTAGTAAATTCAATGAGCAACATTAGTGACTCAGCTGATATGTGAAATACCCATGATGCTTGCAAAATATTTGCGCAATAAACAATAAATAAATATATAGATCTTCAACTGGGACAAATCGTCCCGTTAGACTAGAAAGAATTGAAAGAAACACAAGATTTCTTTCAATTCCTTCGAGTCTAATAGGACCATTCGTCCCAGAAGAGATTTATATATTTATTTATTGTTTCGCGAGAAACTACAAGTTTCTTTACCAAGTAAACTCTTATCAGAGGGGGAAACTCTGCTTGCTTCCCTGAAACAAGATATGAATTCTACGAGAGAAGAGGGTATGGATGCATCACATGCAATATGGCCGTGTATATCGTGTGTTTCATTACATCGATTTGGTGATGCGTGCGACAAACTACGCGACTAATCCCTCATGCGGCGCGTCGATGACCAACGTCATTAAATTTAATTACAAACTATCGAAATTATTGGAGAACTCGACCGACTATCGCGGTAACGACCAAACGATTCGGCGAGCTGTCCGCGAAACTGGCCGCGGCCTACTATCTATATAGCGACGCAATTGTTTTGTAAACCGAATGTAACAATGGGACGACGGGCGTCGTCTATCCGTGATAAATCTGTCCTTCGATGATTAAACAAATAACTCCGTCCCAACGGGACTTGTCGAACGATTTATGCAGTCATCGATTGAAATAACACACAACGATAGAGTTCGATATATATTGCCTTCTTGATATACCTGTCGCTACTATAAATTTTTTTTTAGAGACATCAATTTTTTCTACAAACGAAACATAAATCACGTAACGATGAAAATCATGTAACCATATTATTTTTTGTATATATCAAATCTTTTATACAGATACTTGAGTAAATTTTGTGATATATAACAATTTTTATGTAATAATTTTTTAAGGAGAATTAAAACTACTTGGGCTGCAATAAGAAGATCGTCCATAAAAAGTATCACTTTTACTTTTTAATTTGATACTACAGTTTCTTTTTTTGAGAATTATAAATAACGTGAAAATTATATAATCAGTTTTCAATATAAATGATAATAAAATCTTTGAATTAAATTAAAAATGGACTACAATATAATTATACAATTATCGTAATTTATATTTGTCTTCATAATGGATAAACGAACAAAAGTATAAATATCTTTTTCAGAGATGATTATCCCTCTATATATCGCAACCCATTTTCTCATCTCCGATCGCATTTCGTTTTCTAGTTCTTCTACTTGCTTTCTCTGCTCGGCTAAGATATCACTCGTGAGAAGAGTACCGGGCTTACTGCAGAACAGAATAAGAGTTCCGTGTGTCATTCTATTCGCACCAGTGATTCTCCAGCGGACTGAATCGATCTATTATTCAGAA